AACATCCACAATATATTATAAAATGACCTAAGTCATAAGTCATTTAGTTTTTAAAGTGACCTAATGACTAGTGACCAGTCATCAAAGTCATTTGGGTCATTTTAGGTCACTTGCTATCACTGTGTTATAGTGATAACAAATTTCTTATAACAAAGCTTTAATCAACTTAAATAAATAAATTGTTATACAAGAGTTAAATTATGAAAAGTAAAGTTATATTTTTTAGTAGATATTATTAATATAAAAATTATCTAAATCATTTTAAAAAAAATATATATTTTATTTTTAAATCAATTAATAATTTTTATCTAAATATTATAATTATTTTTTTTTTATTTATTAAATATAATATTAAAGAAATTGCTAATTAAATTATATAATATTTCCTAATCTACATATAATTAATCAACAAAATGCTTTTAGATATCTTTTATTTAATACTTAAACTTTATTTTAATTTAACTGATTTTTTATTAGAAGAATAATATATTTTTCTACTTTTATAAAAATCATTACTCACTTGTATAATAAAATTAATAAATTAGTTAAAATTTATACTCTTTATTTTCATACATTTTTTCTTTAAAACATTATAAATTTTATAACTTTCTTTAAAACATTTAATAAAAGAATCAAAAATATATTATAAATTAATTAATTATTAACTTTTCAATTTATCAAAAAATAAAAAAAAGGTAAATCAAGGATTAGTTACAACATGAAAAACACCTAAGAAAAGGAGCAAATGAATATGTTGCTTATAAGATTAATTTCGTGAAGTGAAAACAAATTTAATGTTTGACATAATTCAGTCACATGATTTCATGAATTTGTTACCCGTTAAGGATGTTAAACAAATATCAACAAATTCACCAATAATTATTTGCCTCGTATCATAAATTAAAATATAAATTTAGTATTTTCCATTTTTTGTTTTTCTTCCAATTTTTCTTTCCTACATTCATTATTATTTTTTTTTCTTTCTCTTTTAACAAACTTCTTAAAAATAAAAATGGCAGTATGTATAAACATATTCTCGTTTCAAAGAACGATTATCGATAATTAGTTATAACTATTTTTTTTTTTTTTAAATAGGACTCTGTTGCATCTGGATCACCAAAAGGTGCTGTTAGGTAAGAACGACCAACCTTTCAATATTCAAATAGTTTTATTTTTTTTTCATCTGTAAATAATATCATAATCAAATAAGGGAAATCTAACAAAAGACAATCTTAAATATTATAGAAGGCGAACTACTGGAAACGCTACCGTATCTCGATCCGGTGGCAGTTCTTCAACTATGATGAAATTGTACACTGACGATGCTCCAGGTTTAAGAGTGTAAGTTATTTTTTAAATTGATTTTCTACAAAAATTAATTCATAATTAATAATAATGATCTCTTTTATATAGAGACCCAGTTGTTGTTATTGTACTTGCACTTTCTTTTATCGGTTCTGTATTCATTCTTCATATATATGGAAAGTTTACCCGTGGATAAAGATTATTTTAAATCAAATCATTTTCTTCAAAACATAATATATTTTTTCAATGGATAAAACAAAACAAAAAAAAAATTCCTTAAATATTAATCAAAAAGGACAATTACGCTTGAAGTTCATTATATATAATATATCTATATTTTCTATATACATTTAATAGATGTCTACTCATTAATACGTTTTTTTGTTATAAACCTTATTATTTTGCTTAAATTAATAAAATTTGATCGATTAGATAATAAATCACGTGACTTTAAAAAAGTGTCTGTATTTATACGTTGCATAACTCTACGAGGAGAATCCATAGTTTAATAAACATGGAACATTTCGAATTAAAAACAGACAGGAAACCAAAGCTTTCGGATAACATTTTAGAACTTAAGGTTATATATGTGTTTTTCACAAGTATTTGAAGTTTGTTGAGCGATCTAATGTCTATTTTTAAAAAATAAAATAAAAATATAGTTTATGCAAAGGCAGCAAGAAAAAGCTTTGCGTGAAAAATTGGAAAGAGAACGTTCTAGAGCCCTTGGAGAATCTCAGTGGATTGCTTTTTACGATGAACTTGAAGTTGGAAAACCGTAAGTCTTGTAACAATTTACTATTCATTTATAAATTAACTAAAATTTATTATGTATTAAAAAGTAAATTCAATGTGGAGTATTTGCCAAGTTATCTATCTTTTGCGACACCTGAAGTAGGAAACGGAAGATTGTCTTTTGGACGTTCCAAAAAAGTTAATAAGGTAAGATGATATTAATAAATCACTATATATTTGATTTGTTTATATAACATTGTTTCCAAATTTTATCGTCTTTTTAAACTAACCCGAATTACTTCGAGTTAGAAAAGAGCTCCGACTAATATAACAACAATAGAAGAATCAAATGGATCTTCATCAAGAAGCTCTATAAAAAGAGCGAACAGTATACAGGTTAATAATAAGCGAAAATACGAATATATCCAGGATACAACTTTAAAAAACTCAAAGAGAACCTATGAACTAGAAGATAAGACTTTGAGTAAAAACTCGAAATATGAACTAGAATTAGGTGAAATTGAAGAGGATTTTGAAGCATTGGAAAAGTTTGAAAAGGTTGAAGAATTAGAAAAATTAGAAGAATTGGGAGAAGAATTGGAAGAAGGAGAAATTCCACAAAAGATTACAAAACTTGACAATAGCGAATTTAAAAGAAGATCTATTGGATTTTTGAAACCACCAGAATAATTCCATAAAAAATTCCGTCTATAAATAAATAATAATAATAATAATAACAATAATAATTGAGAAAATCATTGCAAAAAAAAGAAATAAATACATTTAAATATAAATAGATTACCTTAATTGATGCAATTCAGTTTTCCTCATGGTCCAAATACATACCCGATGTTTTTTGTGTTTTTTTTGGCGAATAGACTAATAAACTAGATTGGGTCTTCTCGCCTTGACGACTGGATATGTAATAAAGTCGTACGTAAAGTCTTTGAATTAGATCTTTGGTCTAGGAAAAAAAAAATATAATTGTTAAGATATATATTAAATTTATAACAGAACTATACATTTTATGATGTTTTACCTTTGTTCGATCCATAAAAGCAGCTCGCATGTCCACTAATCATAAATTAAAGGATAAGATATTATGTATTATATATGCCATACTAATATGGTTAGATAATTTTACCTATTTTCCCATGTAATATTTTTAACATTTTGATAATTTCTTCAACTGTTTCCTATCATTGAAAATCTAGAATTAATTAAAATTTATAAATTTACTATAATGCAAGATGTAAATTATTACCTTAGCTTTTCTCAACAAGGCTTCGTCATCTAAAGCATAACTAAGCAGCAAAATATGGTGATATAATTCATTGTAATTTGTGTCATCTTTAATTTTAAAAATAGTTGAATGATCTTGGAAAAGATACAGAAGAGTGTTCAAGATCCCAGGTTGCATTACGTTAATCTGTGTAAGGTTCAAAGATAAAACGATTTCTCTTAGTTAAAATATTTCAAATCATAACAAAAGAAAGGATATTAAATAAAAAAGGATTACTATGTCCATTTGCTGAGGCAATGGTGACGCACAACCAATTAAGAATCGAACAGCCAAGAAATGTTTTAATAAGCGTCCGCGATTAGTAATTGGTAAATTTTCTATTATGGCCACTTTGAACTGAGTTATAGAGCCGCATGAAAATTCAATTTCGTTACATATAAGCTTGGCCTTTGAAAAATATAATAAATCATTTCAGTGATGTCATCTAGATTAAATACACTCAATAGAGATTAAATACTAACTTGTTCCATCCATTGGTCTTCTTGGAACATAGCTAGAAGCGAAATTACAACTTGCTCTACTTCGTTGGATAACGACATTAGTCGTTTATCCAAGGGCAATCGAAGAAGTACAATGATAGATTTCCTTATTTCTTCAGAGTTCGAAAAGGTGAATAGCCTATAGTATAAAATAAATTAATTTGTCTATTACAAAGTTCATTCATGTAAACAAAATCTCTATAACCTGCTGTCAATCATAGGCACAAGCGTTTTCAATAACAGCCTTATATTGTCGAAGTAATGGAATTCAGAGGGAACCTCTATTTAAAAAAAATTATTTTTTATCATTTAATACTCTGTAATTAATCAAAAATAACTAAACGAAGTTAATACCGCATATAGAACTCTGCCTAGTATTATTCTCCAAGCAACACCGTAAACTGATCATATGTGTTGACGCACCCAACGTGGCTAATATATTATATACCTCCAAAAAAGGAACACATGCATTTTCAACTTCATCGTTTAGGCTGACATTAAAATTTTTCTACATTATTTAAAAAGTAGATTAAATAAATAACGGAGAAAAAAATAAACCAAACATTATGATATATATAATTACTTTAATTTCTGCAATATTTTTTAATGTATTAAAAGATGCTTCTGAAATTATTTCGTCTTCCTCATAGCTTACTGAAGCAAAAGGTTTTGTATAAATTAAAAAAAACTTGAAGAGGTAATTCATAACACGAAGAGAATATTCACCTAAATGAAGAAGCCAAATCATAATCTCAATAGGTAACTGCCAGCCAATTTCACATCGATGAGCAATCCAATCGCTACAAAGAATATCTTTGAGCTTTTTCTTGTCTGTAAATTACAATATGATTAGTATAGGGCAAATTACGTATTAAAAATAAATAATTTTATTTTTTATATGTAAAATTTTTTATTTACCAGAGGATACTCTTAATAATAAATCAAATGTCAAATCATCAATCGCGGGAATACATGATTGCAAATTAGAAATTTGTGGATTCTATCATAATAAATTTAAACATTTAGAAAAAAAAATAAAAGAAATTTCATAAAAAATTCGAATAATTAACTTATCAAAATTTACCGAATGCAAGGTTTCGAAGAACTCTATTTGATAATTTTGATCATGTTCATAATCTTCTTCGAATATCTAACGTATCAAAAAAAAAAAATTATACCAGAATTAAAAGATAGCTATGATGATTTCATTTTAATACATAGTTCCATGTAACAACCTGCTGCAACTGATCACACTTTATATCTTCATTCAAGATCGAAGCAGATATTTCCAATCGATCATAACTATCATAAGGGTCTTCCATTTCATCTAACATCTGAAAAATAAAGATTCAATTAAAAAATAATACTCAATATATAATATTCATGATAAAAATAACACTTACATCGTTCATAAGTATTTTTTCCATAGCATTAATATTATAACCTACTTTTTCTCGTAACTTTTTTTCTCGAAGAAGTGAGGATAAAGAATTTTGATAGGATTGTTTCACAGTACCATTAACTTTTGTATTTTTTATATGTAATGATGACGCGTCCACCAACGGAATATCGCCTTTCATTGGAACAACGTCAACCGTTGGAACAAATCCTTCTTGGGATACAACGCGTCGAGAACGCTTGCTTCGACGCAAATTCTCAGACCTATTGCTAAGCAAAAGTTTTCATATCCATATATTAAATAATTCTTCTTAATATATAAAGAAAGATATATTTATAATTATATTCAAACCTTTCTTCTTCTTGAATACATATTTCTTGAATACAACTAAAATCTGCTTTTGATAAAAGATCGTCATCTTCATCGTCTTCGATGACCTAATAAAAGTGACCATGAGAAAATTGTCGAATTTAATATTTTTAAATATTAATAGTTTTACTTACATCGGGAATACTCTTCATATCATCATCAACATCATCATCATCACTTACGGATAGAACCACCTTTTTTATTTTAACCTCATTCGCTTGACGACTTTTAAGTGGGGTTTCAGGAGTTACATTGTGACTTTTTAATGGAGTTTCAGGAGTTGCATATTTTGGCTTATTACGCTTTGGAGTTTCATATTTCTTCAATATACTTTTTTTTTTTTTTGTGGGTGTTGTAACTTTGTATGATGATAAATTCTCATTATCGTGTTTACTCAAGACCGGCGTAGGGTTCTCTGTTGAGTTACTAAAAATAGAAATCAAATTTATTAGTTATTTGCGATTTTTCACAGGCTAACTTAAGTTGAAAGAAACAAACTTGTTATTATTTGGTGCTAGAGGAAAAAACGCTGTAATTGGTGGTGTACTGTCGTTCCAAAAAAAAAAAAAAAAAAGAATGAAGCCTCGATGTGCTTGAATTTCTTAAAAAAAGTTGTAACCGCGTCTGAAAATAGATCACTCACCGAAAAGCTTCGCGTCCTGGCGTTCTAACCTTTACCATTTTTGAATTTATTAGAAGTTTATAAACTATATATGAAACTTGTAAAAATCTTTACTCGTTCCGAGTTAAAACTTTTATAATAATACTTGCAGTTGTTTTATTTTCAAAGTACACGACTTTATACACGAGTTCCGGCCGACCAAAATTTTTTCCCGAATTTCACAGAGGTGAAAATTTTCCGAAAATATTTCCAACTCATTATCTTATTACTAAATTTAGAAATCATTTATAATCTCCCGAATTATCGGATTCCAAAATCCGATATTCAGACATTTTCACAATGGTATAGGGATTTTTATGTAAAAATCTATCTTTAATAATCAAAAAAAAGTAATTTTGATTTGTATTTATTTGCAGAAAGTAAAAGTTCTTTCTCGAGCCGCCTCAGAGTATACACGTGAAACGCCTCAAGATATTCACAAAATTAAACGGAATTATGACCCCACATTACACCCTTTGGAAAAGGCTCGTGAATACACCAGAGCGCTTAATGCCGTAAAGTTGGAACGAATGTTTGCAAAGCCATTCGTTGGTGCATTATCTGGTCATTCTGATGGCGTTTATTGTATGGCCAAACACCCTAAAAAGCTAACCACCATTGTGACGGGGAGTGGTGATGGAGGTAGGTTCAAATACGTTCAATTTTTCTGAATTATATGTTTAACTAAACAACATTCTTAAATTAGAATTGAGGTTATGGGATTTGTCGAATCGGGATACAATATGGAAGGTTGTTGGACATAAAAGCATTGTGAAAGGTGTCTGTTGTAGTCCGACAAAGGGAAATTTATACTTTTCTTGTGGAACCGATAAAACCGTGAAGATTTGGAGTCCTGATCTATCGGGTCAAGATGTAATATTTGATCATTCAAAACTTTATTAATATTTAATGAAATCATTTATTGATTTATTTTGTTTTTCATATCAGCCATTAAGTACCTACATTGGAAAATTTGCTTTCAGGTAAGATTCTCAATTTGAAATGAATTGCTTTGATTAATTTGAAAGACATATGTATTTATAATATTCATTTATATATAGTGCGATTGATCATCATCGTCATGACCCAATTTTTGCCACTTCCGGATCACAAGTTGACATTTGGGATGAAAATAGGTAAACGAAGAAATTCAATTAAGGAATTGACGTAGCAATTTCACAATTTATGAAATATTTTGAAATTAATTTGATAGGTCGGACCCCATCAAAACTTTGAGTTGGGGTGCAGATACAATTAATACTGTTCGATTTAATCAAATAGAGACAAACATTCTGGGCAGTTGTGGTACGGACAGAACCATAATTCTTTATGACCTCAGAATGAATTCCCCACTGGCAAAATTAGTTTTGCAGGTTATTTCAAATTTAATATTAATGTCTATATGATCATTTTTATGAATAAATGAATTAATCTATTATCTCAAATATTTTATAGATGAGAACAAATGCTATAGCATGGAATCCAATGGAAGCATTCAACTTTACAGCGGTATTTTCAAAAATTATTATTTTTTTTTTTTTGGTGTGATTCATATATCTGAATAAATCAGCAAATCAAATACATTTTATCATGAATTTTAGGCGAATGAGGATCATAACTGTTACACATTTGATATGCGCAAAATGGACTGTGCATTAAATGTCCTCAAAGATCATGTATCTGCAGTGTAAATAATTAACTAATTTTAATTTTTTTGTAATTTATTCATCATTAATTAGGTTTATTCTAACTGAAAATTTGTTAAAACAGATTAGATTTAGATTATTCGCCAACAGGTGAAGAAATAGTCACTGGAGCTTATGATCGAACATTGAGGATTTATTCATCACGTCAAGGACATAGTCGAGATATATATCATACCAAACGAATGCAGCGCATTTTTTGTGTTAAATTTAGCATGGATTCAAAATTTGTTCTCTCTGGTTCAGATGATGGTAGTATTCGACTATGGAAAGCAAAAGCATCCGAGAAACTTGGACCGGTAATGAAATAATATTTAAGTTGAAATTTATTTTATCAAAAATTATTGTTAATATCGTTTGTAATGATCTTCAGAAGGACTATAGAGAACGTGCTCATTTGGAATATCAAGAGAAACTTATTGATCGATATAAGTACCTTCCAGAGATTAGAAGAATTGCAAAGTAAGATTTTTAAATGATGTTCTCCTTTCAATGATGATAAATGCATATTAAATAATTATTCCCACATAAATTTATAAAGACATCGTAATGTCCCAAAGGCAATTAAAAACGCTCAGAACACCAAGCGTATTATGTTACAATCTCAGCGACAGAAAGAAGACAATTTGCGAAGACATTCCAAAAAAGGGACGGTTCCATATCAAGCAGAGAGAAAGAAACCGATCGTTGGTATTGCTAAATAAATTTTCCTCGTTTCTTGATATTATTATTTAATAAAGTTTGTATAAATTTTGTATGGCATAAAGATAAAGCTTTTACCGTGACTTTTCATTGATATAATTTTAACTTGTAACGTTTTGATCATCAATTTTTAATTTGCTGCGTCATTATATGTTTTATTTCATATAAATAAAATATGAAATATCAAATGAATGGATCGTTTCTGAAATCGAAATACGTGTCTAAATATAACAGTATATTTTGATTTTATTGAGATGACTCCGGCTTCCAATGACCGAGACTTTGGGTTCTGGATCTGGGTAGATCGATCACTTTGTGTTCATAAATTAAATCATGTGCATTTCGAATAAATACAATCACATGTACTTCCTATTTTTGAACGCCGATCATTTTGCTAAGAAAAAACAAAATAAATTCGTTAATTTTTTTCTAAAACAAAACTTTATAGTATTAGTAGGTAAAATCGATTGTTTTAAAAGACTGCACATTACCTCTTAGGGGAGCGTAAGTCAATCCTCTATGACATAACGGGTTAAAACTCTTTGAATGTCGGATTTTATGTCGATCCCGATGTACGTGATCAGCATAAATTGACACGTGCCGTATGAATTTTATGACTAACGCTATAAAAAAGACCAACTTGAGCAAACTGCCATGTGATTTCCTACAGATTAACATTTCACGGATGGGAAAAAAGAAAGAACCACGTTTAGTACAGCATAGAGAAATATATCAGCGTATGAATTTTCTTTATCAAGCAGCAACATTAATGACAACGATTACAAGTATAAAAAAACCAAAACAACAACAGCCTTCAACTTACAGTTCAAACTCTCTGACACAATCCTCCTCGGTGCAACAAGAACAAGTGCCCTCAACAAAAAGTAAAACAAGAATAACAACTACACCTTCTAATTCAAATACAAATAATTTAGCTTCGCTAGGTAGATTTTACGTAAATACCATGAAAACAATTGGTAAAAAACAGGTTTTGCGTATAGATCCTTCGATAAAACGTACCCTGTGTAAAAGATGTGAATCCATTCTATTACCTGGAGTAACTTCACGAGTTCGAATTAAATGTAAGTCTAATAACTCGCTGATCTTAATAAATTTAATCATTCTTAATTGAGTTTAATCATAGCGCGTCCTGAACCATGTTATCAAGTTTTATGTACTGAATGTAATTCTTCAAAGAATTATCCTACTCGTAAAGGATATCAATTATTTTCCGAGAAACCTGAAAATATCTTTAGATCAAACGAGTTATCATCACCAAAGTAGTAATGCTGAAAATGGAGAAGATATATCAATCACACATCAAAAAAAAAAAAAATAAAGAATTAAAGAAATAAAAATCAAACCCAACCTGCTAAAAAAAAAAATTAAGATTATTTTGCAATCAAACAATATTCACAAAAAAAAAACGATTATTTTTTTTTTTTTCTTTATTAAATTGTTCTCTATTTTGTATTTTTGGAAGTAGGTATTAAGAAAAGCAAATTATCGGATACAAATAATGATAATGATGGTACATATATATTAAATGAGAATAATAATAAAACTATAAAAAAAAAAAAAAAAAAAAAAGTAAAAGTACTTTCAATATCATGAATATCAAAAATTTAATTATGTTACTTGGCCGTTCTATAAATGAATTTAAATAATACAAAACGAGAAAATGAAACAAAATAAATTAATTTTTTACAGTGCGTCCTTAAAAAAAAGAGTAATCGTCTAACGAGAAATCAGATAATCCATGACTCAAAGAAAATATTAAAACGATCAAATTACTAAATAATAAAATAAAATAATTCGAATCATATATCGAAATGGTTCTTTCATTTTCGTTTTCCCAACTAAATATTCCACCATTTTCCTCGTTAATTTCCTCGTTGATTTCCTCGTTGATTTCCTCGTTGATTACTTCGTTGATTTCTTCATCATTATTCAGTCAGTTATATTGATCACTGATTTTCGCAAAGAAAGGATTCATAAATTCAAAGAAAGCAAACTGTGATGGGTTTGTTCCGTACTTATACACAAATCTACTAGCCAAATAAGATCCAAATATGGCTTTCACATATGGTTCAGGAACTCTTTCTAATAAAGTATCTAATCCTAATCTATCAAGAAGTAATTGTGGGAATGCATCTCTTAATACTGTCTTCCTTAATGGAACATTTGACCATAGACTTGATGTTTGCATATTTTCATTTAGATCTACAATGGCAAGACTGAGTTCATCAGAAATGATCGATCGTGGCTTGTTGGTTCTTCGATGTTCCCTCCAAATGCATTCAAATTCTAATTCTGCATTCTTTTCGATGACTCTGTGAACTTCTTTAATATATTCACTATAGAATGCTGGGATGACATTGTCCCTAACTTGCATATTCTTTGCAAATTCATCATCTGTCAATGCGAGAGCTGCTAAAACTTCCAATGATGATGACGTTACACCACCTTTGTTGGCCGATGCATCCTTGAATATTATCGCACCAGATTGTTCTAACCTGATACGAGCTTCTTGAGTGAAGAAAAGATTTGCACCTTCCACGATAAACTTGAATCTTGATTTACCATTTTTATCAAGAAGCAAATGTACATTGTTAAGGTCAACAGCTTCTGGTCTACCGCCACATGGAACAAAGAGATCGGAAGAAACAAGATGTGTTGTATGGAAATTATTACGGAATACTAAACCGTCCTCGACAACTTGACCGTCTATAATTTTTTTGTTTAGGTTAATAAGTTTCCAAATTAATTAAAATATTAACAAACTTAATACTTAACATACTTGGTAACTTGATGTTTTGTTGTTCTACTAAAATCTTAAATCCGTTAGGAGATAATCTAGAATCATCGAAGTTCGATATCGTTAAACGATGAGTGGCCAATCGTTTTAATTCACTTCTATCTATACCTTCAGGATCACATATTACACCGCTACCATCGACAATGGCTAAGCACAATAGAAAATTTAAATTAATATCGATAATATTTTCAAACTTGATTTTATTCACACATAATGTACATACCGACTGTACGATCTTTTGAAATCTTAATTTCATTACTACCCAAATCACCATCAGGTCCACCAGTTTGAAATTTCGTAATCTTTGATTCTTTGAGACCAAGTTTTCTGTAAATTCCAAGTACATATTGATGTACTGAACGGGTTGTCATGCCATAAAGATCGTGAGGAATACCTCCCATGGATTGACTTTTGCCAGTTGTGAAAGCTTTCCAGAATGAAGCTCCTCTAGTACGAGCATGTGCACTAGCCCAATCAACGAAAGTTGCAGTTCCTTCATCTGGACCAAAGAATAAAATTTCTGGTTTATTGTATAAGTCAACAATCTTCTATTTAAAAAGTTAAGGTAATAATCATATAAAGAACATTTTATTAAATATAAAATTCATCAAAGAAGTTTTAAACATATATATTTAATCATTTAAATACTTCACCTCTTTAATACCAGGAGAATTTCCAGTGATTAAAAGATCGAGCATACTGTCAACATACTTTTCAAATGCAACACGATCCTTGTCTTGTTGTGAGATGTCCAAGAGAATTGTACCCTTTGAACCACCTTCAGGAATATCCTTATTCTTTCTTTGTTGAGTAGCAGCCAATGCATAATTTTCATCAAATAGAGATCTCAAATTTATACTGTAAGATTCCTTGTTTCTAGAACGGATGATACGAATACCACCACGAGCGACATCACGAAATCTCAAATGGAAACCTCGGAATTCGGAGCCAATAACAATGAACATACCATAAAGTTTGGTTGGATATTCAATTGATGGCAAGAAAGCGGGATTAAGACGGAAGGACAATGCTACTTTGGTTGGTTGATAGAAATTGGTCTTAAGAACATGTTTGTTGAAAATCAAGAAGGATTCAAATACAATGAATTCGTGAACATTTGATGTTGTTTTTTTGATTTTATCCAAAAGTTCATCATCATTAAGCACAACATCAGTTTGAATTCGTTGAAATGATAACGTAGGTCTTTACAAAAAAAAAAAAAAAAAATCATAAATGAATTTTCAAAATTCACAGTGCGCAATTAAAGAGCCTAAAATATAGATATAAATCTTTTACTTACTCAAGAGCAGCAGCACGTGGATTAACATAATGAGTCAATGCAAAGTTGATATACAATAAGTGAATCAAGTCTGGATACATTTTTATAATATCCAAAATGTATTCACGTGTGAAAGCATCTGAACGTAATCTCTTTTTGATTTTGTTCAGGACTTCCGCATGAACGGGATCGTTTTGATCTAGAATATTTACAAGACTAACATATTCATTACCCAAACGATTAAGGAAATGTTGAGCAAAGATCCAACCAACATAACCATAAATTGTCTCTTGAACGGACAACTTTCCAGTTTGGAAAAATTGCTGGAATGGTGTAGTAGGTAAACAATAAATAAGTGAAGCCTCCTTGATTACTTGATGGATCGAATGCTCAATTGGAGAGGATTTTGAATTTGGAAGTGGATTAAGATAAAGGCTCATCACGGTAACACCATTCGAAAATTGTTCTAGAATGATCAAATAAAGGATGTTAACGATTGATTATAAATTTTTAAAACGAAAAGTTGATATTAAAGATACTAACCGACATATTTCCTAGTGGAATACAGTTCATAAAAATGGTAAAGGTCCGACATTGCGGAGAAGAATGATTGTGTACTGCGTTGTCGGTAACCAATGACAAGACGCCTTTCACGACTCCCTTCCACTTCAAACATTTCGATAACGGGGCCGGTCCTACAAAGAACAGCTTTCACAACGTTTTGATAAATCTCTAAAGTATTTTCGGTAGCCTTTTCTAAAAATGTCCTATCACCCACAAGACGAATATCGGTTTCTTCCTCGGGAGCGGGAACTGGTTTCACAAAATCACATTTGGCAACAAAGTAGCAACGAAGTTGCGTGTTCACAGAAGGAGAAACATTTCCATGAGAACGATAGGATTCCAAACGATAAGCATTGGTAGTATTACTAACATCTAAATATCGAGAATCGATTCTACGATAATTTTCAAGTATTAGAACCGAAGCATACCCAATCATGTGAGGTAAACACAAAATCATGATAGATACCTTTTTTCGTGCTGAGGACCCTGCAGTTGAGAAACGCCAGGACGAGATGTGTGTATATATACTGCGCCATCATCGGTTTCCCTTTCTAGATTAATATCAAGCTCACGTTCGTCATTTTTTGTGTACGAAAAAATCTTTGCCCCATAAAGGGCCAAAATATGGTTGGCAATGGTTTCAACATTTTCCAAACTGAAGTACATGTCATCGATACCAAGATTTCTATTTACGTCAAGTCATGTGAGCAAATTAGGTAATACATAAATTATAATATATTGAGATTAGAAAATAAATCAACTGCGTGATTATTGTGACAATAATTAAATAAATAATATAATATATAAATTTCGGGAAAATTTAATCCTTTCCATAAGAACTTAAATATTTAAATATTGCCACATTAACGGAGATGAAAAAGGTCATAACTCTTACCCATAAAACCACGAAACTTCGTGACGGACGAGATCTTGAGGTATGAACCCTTTTTTTTCCAAGTATTCGCACACCTTAAGCATTTGGTCAGCCTTGCCTTCAAAGATATTATCATTGTAACCGCTCGAGTCTTTTACTATACTGTTTGTAGGCATGAATAAGCCCGGTACTCCTCGAAATCTATCAGCCATGTTATAAACTTTTTATTGAAAAAAAAAAAATCTTCTTTCTGGGAAACAAAGAATAAAGGAGAATTTTTTTTTTTATTGCTCGGTAAAAATTTTGTTTCGGAATAATTAATCTAAAGGTAAGTATAAAAATATTTTTTTTTTAAAAAAAAAAAAAAAAAAGACCGAAAAAAAAAAAACCCAAAAAAAATCTGGGGAAAAAATATTTGATTTGGTTAAAGGATTATATATGTGGAAAGTGATTAAGTGATTCGATTTTTATATAAAAATCGATATATATAAAAAATATTTTTTTAAAGTGCATTAAGTGCATTGAAAATCTACTTTATAAAAATAACGAGTGGATGTTACTCTAACATGAAACTCCCAATTTAGGAAATCATAAATATACTTTTAAAGCATAAACATTTAGTTGAATTTAAACGACAATTGGGAAAGTATAGATGATAAAAATGGAATTTAAAATAAACAAGGGTGTGAATCAATTTCCGAAACCAAAAAAAAACGAAATAATGTACTGCCTTATTAGACTTAATTCTA